AAAGAGTGTGTGTGAAAGGAGTAGAGCCTTCTTATTGCCCCACCCTGCTCCATCTCACCTTTCCAAAAGCTTTTTTGAGGATTTTGGAGTTCACTTCAGTAACAGGGTAGAGTATGAAATCAAACTCAAAAGGTGGTGTATGCTTTTTCTTTTGTATAGTATGTGGAAACGGTGAGCTCTCGGCAGAGTGATATTCAGAGATTTATTGCAGAAGGCTGCAGAGAAGCTCTCCTTGAAGAAAAAAGAAGATTCTGTTTTCTGGTGGATAAACACTGCGGTTTCACTCAGCACATGAACTTCTATCACGTTCAGGTCAGTGGCATGAAGATAAGCAGAAGTAAAACTCCTGAAGTCTAATAATCATACAGAAGATCTTCAGGACCTCCTGCAGGATGTTGATCTGACAGGCGGAAATAGCTAAGATGGGCACAAGGAACAACGTCAAACTGGACAAACTCTGTCGTGATCAGTTCACAGAAAAGGTTTTCAACTGAATGTTTTCTCTTAAATGTATTGTAGCAACAATGAAAGATTACTGTGACTTTTTTAAATGATATTTTGAAAAAATTGTGGGCTGATCAAATACTTCCAACCTCTAAACCTGAAAAAGGACAGTCTTTCTATCATGTTATTTGTTTTGAAGAGGTATTATTTAATTACGTAAGCCTTTTAAAAGACTGTCATTTCACTGAGGTTATATTATTTTGGTATAATGAAAATTTAGCAAATAGCTCTGTGTGATTTTTATGAAACGGCGGCATAGCTTTGGCTAATACCTTTTACATTTGGATGCAGTGTGCAGACTTCCTCAACTCTAAGCTGCCCGGCTGGCAGGAAATCTGTAGTGACGCCACAAAAGTGCCCGAAAAAGTTAAAATTATGATAGATGAAATAAGGACACCTGGTTCCACTCCAATATCAGGAACCCCACAGCCTTCACCAATGATAGAGAGAAACACCATGGTATGTATGTCATTCTCTGCCGCTTAAAGGTTCTGTCTCCTGGATGGGAATGGATTAGCCTCACTAATTTCTTTTCTTCTTGAGCATTTGGGTTCAAGTCTGTACTGTACCTCTGTTGGAATATACTGGGGTTCTGTATGAAAGGAAGATGATTAAACTGAAGCCCTAGTACTGGAAATACACACAGTATAGTAGGCATATATCCAAACAAGGCTCAGTTTTCAGGGGGGTGCGTAGGACTCTCTTTACGGAGCCCAGTCTCAGGACTACGTTTTTTTTTCTAGCCACTCCATTTCCAATATTCTTATCTGCAAATTACAGTGATTACATACTCAGTAGTTCAACATGAAAACTTGAACAGAATGGTATTTTCTGTTTTCTTACCCTCTTCTTTCCTCCCTCCGTGATTCTTATTACAGCATATTAAAGAACAGGTTGAATTCAAAATGTCACCTATTTGTATGTTGTGTTACCACTAGCTGCTGAATTTCTAAATGATATTAACCTCCCAGATTTTTTTAGAAAGTTACTCATGTATGAATGTGCTGTGGAAAAGGGGGTTTTCATAGCACTCCCACTAATAAACGTTTGTCAAGGGACAGAAGCCTCCTATGAACTATTCTTATCAACAATTTAGATGGAACACAAGGACTTTCTTAAGGGTCTGTATATATAAAAATTTAGGTTATTTGCAACATTAAATTCTAGAAAGCAATACTCAAATATATCTAAGATGTCACTGTCAACTCAGTATTGTGTTAATCTTGTTTCTGTGATTCTAGCTTGGAAATGATTTTTATTCTCAACATGAAAATGCATCAAAAGTGCCCCCTGCTCCTACAGGTAGGGCATACACTAGTCCGCTAGTTGATATGTTTAACAACCCTGCAACGGTTTCGACGGTATCTTCCGAAAGACTAAATAATTCAGCAGGTAAGTGTCTTTTTGTTACAGACCTATATAAGTGGAAGTGACTTAACACTGAGAATTAGCATAGGATTTCTTGACTTCCACATGATACGATGCCTGAATTCCAGCAGATATAGAGGAGTAGAAAATGGTCTTTACAAAGTGTTTATGTATTAGTTACCCAATAGGAAACATTTAAGTCATATGAAGGCAATGATTGTTTGCAGTAAAATGCAGGTCAAGATAGGCAGCTTCTGTTTTAATCACTTTCCAGGCCTTCCCAATTAACTCAGCTTAAATGCTCTTAAGATTCCCACTATAACGGAAGACGACGCGCTCTGATTTTGAGCAAGATATATTCTAAGTGATTATTTCAGTGCACACAGACATAAACCAACATTGCAGTCTTGGGGGTTTTTTTTAAGAGCATGTACCAGTTGGGGAGGAATACCTATGGGAAAAAGTGAACGTGCTCTTTTTGTTTCTTTGCCGAAATGCAAAATCCCACTGAGATTTATTGTATTAGTTTTTAAAAATACTAATCCTTGATTTCCTCTGCTATAGGGAAGGAAAGAAAGAACAATCTGTATCTAGATCATAAGGTTAAGAAATGCAGAAATCTTCAGTGGGATAACAGCAATTTTAGCATTTCTTGCTTAAAAATACCTTTACGATATACTGTACTGGTCAACATAAGAGTTTTAAGACCTCCTTTAAGTAGTCTTCTGGTAAACATCTAGTGTCTCCAAGGTGCCAAGTATCTGCAACTTATTGATTGAACTGAAGTTGAGTACTAGGCACACTTGAAAATGAAATCTTACACTACGTAAACGGTTAATATTTTTTTTAGAATGGAAAATTTTCAGACCAAGGTCTTCTACGAACCTGTGCATTCAGCATTTTCTATGCCAAAAGAGGAAAGCAGTAGCAGCAGTTAAAATTTATATAACTTCTATGTCTATTGGTTCAATGTTACTGTGACAGTACACGTATGTATAAATACACATGCTATTAAGGACTTCATAGTAATCAGACATTTGCAGATAACTGAGAGAAAGTCAATACCAAAGCAATACAAAGTCAGGGTTTGATGCACTTTGGTATTCTGTAATCTACTTCTTTGTTAAACAACTAATTGTATTTCGCTTTGTAAATGTGTGGTTAATTTTGAATTTTGGTATTTCTTTTTGACAGAGAATTCAGATGATGCCAGTTTATCACGTTCAACTTCTGTCGCCACAGGACTGAATATAATGAAAAGACAAAAAGTAAAGACAATCTTCCCACATACTGCTGGAAATAACAAGACATTACTTAGCTTTGCACAGGGGGATATCATCACACTCCTTGTACCGGAAGAAAAGGACGGCTGGCTTTACGGGGAACATGACTCAACTAAAGTGTAAGAAAGATAATATATTACCCAATTTGAACATGAAGGACAAATGCCTCTTATCAGGTTTTATTAGCAGATATGGGTAAATGTTTTCCCACCTTTTTGCTCGGTGTCATTGACTGGGGACTTGGAGGAGTCCTTCTGTAAGGTAAATCATTGCCCTGATTTAAGGGAAACTTTGCACACTTACTTGGTATCATCAAAAGCCAGCTCTTTAAATTTTGAATCTTCTCGCTTCATTGAGCCTACTCTTCTGTCCAGTGTTGTCTTTTAAAAGATAGGTCCAATTTTATGTAATACGAAATGGAAATCTCTTCCCATTACAGAAAAGGATGGTTTCCATCTTCGTATACAAAACCACTAGAAGAACCAGCGGAAGAAAAAGCATTTGTACCAGTGCCAAGGTAACGTTTTGGATGAGACTTGCCAAAATGCCCAAATCTTTAAATTTCTCTAACCTTTACTGAAAGCGTTGCTTTTCTGCTCATGTTCTTTGTTGCGCAGCAACATGTACAATAAATACTTTCTAACAGTTTGTAGTATGATGCCTTGATTACGTTATCATGTGTTAATGCTTATCTGGGGACCCAAGAACTAGCATCACTGACTTCTTACAGTCTTACCGACTGCAGTGGAACTGTGCCTTTATTAAATTTCAGCTCATTCACTTTTTGTGCTTTCCTGGGACTAAAGCTATCTATCTTTCAAAGGGCAAAAGATGTATTGTATTAATACTGAAAATATTATTTGTTGGGTTATATCTTGCAGCCCTGCACCAATCAGAAGTGTTAGTTCTGTAAATCTTACAGAAAAAGGTGGTGTTGTCCTCCCACCGCCAGACTATCTGGGGTCCTTGCAAACAGGTTCAACATCAGACAAGAGAATGGAGTCTTCCAAAGTTCCTGCTGTTAAAGCTCCAGCTGAAAGACCAGAAAGTGCGGGTCCTGTAAGTAATCAGACACCATGAATCAAAATGTTCTACCCTGCTTACTTTTCTTGACCTACTACTGAACTCTTGAACTGAGCTCTTCAACGAGGTCATGGAATATTCTAGCTGGTCTACCTGTACTTGACTTCAGTGGCCATCTGATGCGGCTTTCTTCAGATGTATCATACTTTTTGGCATTTCACTCCCTGTATTTGTAGTAACAGGAAGGGAGAGGAATTGTTTAGGGGTATAACTAAGAGGACAAGGAGGCTTTTTTTTTCTTTTTTTAAGAAGGTAAAATTATTCTGAATAACAGAGAAAACTTTTCTGTAATGGAGTACGTGAAATGTTGGAACGAATCCTCATGGAAGGCAGTACAAATCCATCATCTGAAGTGACTTTAAAGCTGTAGGGGGCCAGGGGATTTGAAGTAGCCTAAATCCTGTGTTCAGGAACACTTTACACAGCTCCGTGAAAGCTGATGTTATTTTTGTGGAGGTAGTTGAGGGATGGATGTACTAATGGAAGTCTATATTAAGCGAAATTACAGATGAGTAGAAATACTTTTGTTATTTTAATAGATAGTGTTATATAAATCTGGTATTTTTGCCACTAAGCTTTCAAACAGTGATTCAAGTTGAAAGTTAGGAAATGATTAATCTGATTATGTTAGTCTTGCTCTTGCTGCATACCTAAATAAATATTTTGCTGATGTGCACTTAGTGGTGATAAGTGTATTTGAGACTTTCTTCAAAAATTGATCTTTTGAAGATGATGGTAATCTGATTGGAAAAAAAAATCTACTATGATATATATATATGATATATTTATCTACTATGATATATATCTATATATATATATATCTCTATGTAGTTGTCACTGCTAAAATTGAAAGTTCAGAGGATGACACAATGTATATAACAGTACTTGATCTTCTGTAAAATGGCAAGGCACCAGAAAATAATGGTCTTTATCAAAAAGGTCTCCTCTCTTTCTACTTTTTTTAATCTGCTATTAGGATTTCAAGTATGTTTACAGCATGTTTTACTTAGCAGTATTAGGCATTTGTGGGTTTGTAAGTGGTTTTTATGTTGTATTCACAAATGTAGAGAATGTACTGTGTTTAAAATTTAAGTAAAATAGAAACATTGAATAATAACAAAAATAAATAACATCCAAGACATCATAATAGAAAAACATTACCATCTCAGTATGACACCAGCAACCGATATGCACAAATCATATTCATTGTCTGAAAATAACATGTGAATTTTAAACTATTAAAGGATTTTAACAAATAGGGGGGGAAGGGAATAAAATGTATTCATTTTTTTTCTTGAGTAAATTGGCATCTTCAAAGAAATACTCTTTTGTAATTGCATCATGGAGTTGTGGTTTTTTTTAAGTCAAGCATGTGATCTTGACTTTGCAAATACAAAAAAAAAAAAAGAAAAAAGTAGAGACGTGCTAGAGGTTCAGCTATAAAGGCCTTTCAGAAAAGTTCCATCATATTGAATTTGGCTTTGTAAAGCCACTGTACAGCTATGTCAGGAGAACAGCTATAGGTACAACACAGATAGATACACGTATCTACTAACCACTGCCAAAATATCTCTTGCAGTTATAGCAATTGAAACAAAAGGTATCTTTTCTCCAGTAAGAAAGTAAAAGGTGGCTACTACTACTCGTTACGGAAAATCTGTGATCCTCGAAATGAATGATGAACCATATGCTCTGCAGCTAAGATTAAGTTCATAATAAAGAGAATGAAAGTTGCTTGACAGGGAGGTGGGAAGCTCTCTGCTCATTACGGAGATCTTTCCCCATTTAGACTAGAGGAGTAATGTTTTGGGATGGTTTTTATTTTTTTCTAAGAATTTCTATTAAAAATTTAGCTGATTTTTGTCAGAACACTCTAATATCAGCATATATATTTCAATGTAGTATATTTCAATCCACATCTCAGTAAGTGGCTTTATTTATCAGTAATAACTTCCTACACCACGGGGCTCATGTAATGCAGTGATTCTTTCTAGGAGAATAAAGCTTTTCACATCCATGAAATGAGTATCAAGAAGTAACATCTACATTTTTGGATACAGAAGCAATGAGCCATAACAACCATGTAATGTCAGATTTACACACTGCTTCATTTATTCTATGGCTTACAGTTGAGACCTATGAGAGCAACATGTCCTTCAAATGTAATTACGTTAGTGATGGCTTAAAAAGATCTATTAGCCTGTGAAAGTTGCCAAGCAAGCAGTACAGTGAGTTCTTTGCCCTCCGGCAAGTAAAAGGTGACTTGCTGTACAGCTTTAAAATTATTGAATCTGTTAAATTGTCTCAGTGCGCTGCTGTGTTTTATATGACTAACTGTCCTCTGGCAGCACTCAAGAGCAGTCACCTTAAGAAAAGTGGGGTTTTTTTTTTCATTTTATTGCATTTTGATTTTTATGAATAAATGCAAGGCTCATGGACTAGCATTCTTGTTGCGCTGAAAAAACCAAGAGCTCTTGAGTGGCAAATCATTTCACTGATAGACTAGGACAGGTTTCTAACTAGAACCATTTGGTCTCTTTGGAGGCCGGAGTGAGCTTATAGTCTTTTGGGCGTGGAAGATGAATCCAACTTTTTCAGATTCTAAATTTCCACAGGGAAAGCAAGTTCCAAAAACTGAGGCACTCTAGAGCATAAGCTAATTACTACTTTTACTGAGGTACCCCATATCTCATCATGTGTATGTTTACTGTGATCCCATGATTCTTACCTGTTAGACCAAAAAAAGAGGTGTAGAGGAGCGTTGCTCCGCTTGCACCAAAGGATTCGGCTCCATAAGCACTATTTATTTTCGTTCTTTTGAAAAGCTGCAGAACTTCCTTGTCTTTCCTGCTTCTGTGCAAGTCACCACCCCTACCCCACCACGATGCTTTGGAAATAAGCTCAACATTACACCAGGCTGGTTTGTAGACTAGTTCAGGATTTGTATGCATGTGAAACATATAGTTACAGCATCTTTTATGTGGAAGCACAAAATGATTCATTGAGGCATCTTATTTTTGTTTGCGAATACACAGAATAATAGCTAAAGATTTCTTTCAGGAAAGATAAGGAATGGTTCTTGCAAGTTGCAGGTTTAAATACGACAGAATTTAAATTGTTCGTGGTGTGTTACGTAGAACAGTTTTATACAGAATAGTTCAATCTAAAAAGACTTAGTAGTTGCTAAGTTTTTGATGGCTGGTGTTCAGTAAAAAAAAAAAAAGTAGCATGTAATTCAGATGTTATTTCAAAGTATATAACTATAGGCCTAATGCTAGTCACAACTGATGTGATTCCAATTTCATGTACATGCTAAGCACGTGCTTAAGAATGCTGCTGAATTAAGTCTTGAATAAATATAGATTTCAAGACACCATGACACAGGTGAAGAACACTGTATCTAGGAACTACTGGTACAACAGATGATGTACCGAAAAAGAAAAGGCTTACAGACCTTTGTTTAGCAGTGAAATTTTCAATTAAGTATTAGCAACAACATGGGCATACAGATCAAATGATCAGTACAAATCTAAATGCTATATAAAAGGCAAATGCATATTGCTGCTTCTACATGCACAAATGTGTTATTCAAATTTTCACTTTAGTAAGTATAACTTTTTCCATCACCTTTGAGCTTTATCTGGTACCTATTAGAAGCAATGCAGTTAGGTTGCAGTTCAAAATATACAAATTCTATAAGTGGTAACATTCACAGTACTACAAGTTGGAGAGGAGAGGGGGGGAAAAAAAAAGTAGAAATTAGATGTTTGCCAAAACTTCTGCTTTATGCAACAGGCTTGCCAACTATATTTGCAATAGTCCTTCATGTTAGCACATCTGAAACACTGCATGCTGTAGTAATGCTGTCACAGTGCAACACTGCCATCTTTTGGGTTATTGTAACTTCACAAAAATACAGTACATCTCATCACAAAAAGTACAGTGCAAACTAGCTATAAAAACAGGTGTTTTCAGATCCTACATTTAAGTGTGAGTGCAATGATAATGAAATATTAGCAAGAGTTATTCAAAACTATTGCTCGTTTTTGTAGCATTGCTCTCATACAAACAATGCAAACTATCTACGTATATTATCAGTTGTTTTCTTGCATTTTTTTTGTTGTTATTGTTTCCCACCATCACCACCCCAGAAAGTCACTGGAGATATCTGAACTTGTATTTTGTAAAGCAACAGTAGCTAAACAGGGTAGTGGTGTAAAAACTATATAATACAGATGAGAATCTGCTCTCACCTCCGGCTTTTAATTTTTAACAATGTCATTACGCTGGCTCCTGCCTTTAAACTTCAGGACTTTACAGTTGTATGAAGATGTGCTGCCTGTGCTCTCTGTGTATAAAAGCTGCTCCAAGTCCAGTGTTAAAGTCCAGTTTTGGCAATTCACTGTGACAACCAGTAGTTTATAAATTATGCTATATTTGTACTACAGACACGTCTGCCTTTTTTCTTTTGGTTGATGACTGTGTTTCAGTGCAAGTTTGTTTGCTGTTTTAACTGATTAAAAAGTTAACCTATAAACCTATAAAAAAGAGTCTAGCCCAGCTAGAACAGAGACAGGTGACTGAGGATCTTCAACTTGAAAAAAAAACAGATACAGCAACACTGTTTTAAAGGAGCTTCTAGTCTCCACCCTGCATGCAGACAGCTGGTGCATCTTTAGCTTTCTAATGGTGATGTTCTGAGATCTCCAACTGCCTCTCCCCAGTTGACCTAACTGCACAACTACTACTCCAAATGGCTCGATGTTTCTTTTAATGGCAGGGCCTCTTTTCTTCAGAGGATAATGAGAAGATTACCCGTAGCAAATTTCTGCAAATATATATAAATAC